CTTTTTTTTTTTTTAAAAAAAAAAAAAAAAAAAAAAAAAAATATTGTAATTTTTATTTTATAATAATAATTTATTATAATGAAATAATATAAATTTTTCATAACTTTAAAATTTTTTCCAAATCTATTTTTTCCGGGATTCAAAATCGAAAAATTGACTTTCTTTTTTCATTTTATTTTTTATTTATGAATAATATTAAATAAACAAGTTTTTCAATAAAATTTGTTCAATTTGAAAATCTACAAAATTGTTATTTTTTTTTTATTGAAATTTTTCAGACATCAATTTTTAGAGTACCGTACTTTTTTTTTTTTTTATTTAAAAACATGAAAAATTGAACATATTAAAAATAAAAATTTCAAGATAAAATTTTTTTTTTAATACTGCATCAAAAGTAGAATAATTTAAAAAATTGGATGAGTTAATTAATTAATTTTTCGAATTTTTACAGTTGAAAAAAAAAAATAATGACGATGATAAAAAAAAGTGAATTGATTAAAATAAATAATTAATTCGTGTAAATTATTCACAATAATATACTTACTTACATGTACAGTTTCTTGGCTAATAGCGTCTTCAAGTACACCCTCGCCGAATCTAGAGCTCGCGAAGCAGACATGCAGAACTTTAGCGTCAGTATCGACTCGTTCTAACCGACCGACATGCCGAATTGTCAAGGGACACAATGGCACGTTGCTTTCAAGCCAATCTTCAATAGTCAGCCATTGTTTGGACGTCATCACCTAAATTCACCGAGCAAACATTTCCTTAATCAATTTTCAATTAATTAATTAATTACTTTATTTCGGTCAAATGGTTGACGGCAAAGGAAACCAATGTACTAATTTTACCTGCCTGGACACGAGCATCCGGCCTTCCAACGCTCCATCGGTTTCTAAAAACTCGAAATATTGGAGTATGCTTTGTAATTTTATTTTTTGACTATTTCTGAAATAAAAATCATTTTAAATTACTAACAAAGCCCAGAGTTACTTCTCTCGCTACCGTTTTATTTCTATTGTTACGTTTTTATAAAACGTTAAAGGTCAAAGTTAACCAGGTAACTACAATGTTTCAATCAATGTGACCTTTGGCATACATATCTCGTTACTCTCACCTATTCTTTTGTCATAAGCTTATAAAGTTCAAGTTTTTAAATTGTGTTAAATATAATTTCATTGATATGAACTTTGAAATTTAACAAAATCAAAATTAATTAATTTGAATTAATTAATTATTCATGAGTTAATTTAAATTAGTTAGTTATTAATTAATAAATTAATTAAATCTTATTTAGAAAAAAGTCAATAATTTTATGAATAAAATAATAAATAAAAATTCAACAATTTTATCATTGCCGAGAAAAAAATTAAAATATCCTAGTTCTCTTTCTTCGAAATCTGTAATTTTATCCCGAACAAATTTTTTTTTTATAATTATTTCCTGTTCTTTTTTTTCTACATCATTGTTTGCTGACCTTGTGCCTAATCAACTTGAAATTTCGCAATAATTTTTTATAAATTTCTTCACAAAATTATTGACTACTTGCCACAATATTTCCTTCATAATATCTCAATACAATTAATTAATTATATAACTTCAAATAAATAAATAAGCCTTACAAATGAAGATACTTGAAGAAATTAGTGAAATTAAAATCTCCTAATGTCGGATGCGTTTTAACTGTGCGCTTAGGATACGTCGAAAAAAAGGCATTGGCTACTAGTGAAGAAGCAAATCCATAACTATACTCCACATGGTCTCCTGTTTAACAACAATGACAATTTCAATTACTAACAGTTCATTACCAGATTAAGATTAATTAAATTGATTAATAGAACAACATCAATTATTAACCCAAAAGGTACCTTGTTGCTGCAAACTAAAATAAAGCCCCTGAGGCGGTTTGGTATTCCTCAAAGCTTTGGCTCTCTCTACAATCTTAGGTATTGTCTTTACGAACATTTGTTCTCGTTCCCCTGGCCCTAGATCCTCATCAATAAACTTGGCAAACCCGACAAAGAGATCGGGGTCTTGTTCATCTTCGTCCGGGTCCAGACTTATGCTGAAAAATAAAATAAAAAATATTAACATGACATTGATTAAATGACACAACTGCTGACAGTAATAACCTATTTGTCCTTAATAGATATACAATTTGTATTTACAAGTATTTTAATTGGCATGTACATATTATATCACATACTATGTTGTCATTATTGATATTATTATTATTATTTCGTCATAAAATTAATAATAATAATAATAACTAGCAACTTTGCAGTCACTATGTGACTGTCGAGACTTGTGAACTATAAATAAATAAAATTTTGCTTTATTAAATAATGACTTTTGTGAAATTCCACTGTACTTTCTGAACTATTGACTTTTTTAAAGATATAAGCTCATCCCGATGTTACACTCATTAAGAGCTTTCATTTGAGTAGCCACATGCATTTTTCATATATTTTTTATATATACATATATATAGATATATAAAATATATGAAAAATTGTTGTGGGTACTCAAATGAAAGGTCTCGATGAGTGTAACATCAAGATGAGCTTATATCTTTAAAAAAGTCAATAATTAAAAAATTATATTGTATTTTGTCTATTCATGATATTTTTAAAGGTATAAGCTCATCCCGATGTTACACTCATCAAGAGCTTTCATTTGGGTACCCACATGCATTTTTGATATATTTTTCATATATACATATATGTAATATATATAAATATATAAAATATATGAAAAATTGATGTGGGTACTGAAATGAAAGGTCTTGATGAATGTAACATCGGGGTGAGCTTATATCTTTAAAAATGTCATTAGTTCACGAGATACAAGGTCATTTCTTAATTATGTATCTAGATATAATTATGTATCTAGGTGAGAATGATATGAAACCATGAAAATACACTAATAATAATAATAATAATAATAATAATAATAATAATAATAATAATAATAATAATAATAATAATAATAATAATAATATATATATATATATAGTAGTATTATTATTATTATTATTATTATTATTATTATTATTATTATTATTATTTGCAATAGGAGAACGTCAGTATACTGTCCGGAAGAGGAAGACGAAGAGAAGAATAAACAGCATAAAAGTGCGACGAACCTCGAAGGTTGTACGTATTTAACGTATCCAAAAATAAATTCAAAGTTTCTTTATCCCGAACTATTCGTTCATACACTCACTGCTCTTATACTTAAACTTACTACAAATGTATATAATACATCCAAGAAGTTTAGTTACAGCTCGTGTCTACATATACACGATGACGAATAAGTAAAAGCAGTACCAGTAGCAACATTTCTATCGCTACCAGCAAACTAGTACAAAGCTAAATAACTAGTGTGAGATCATCAGATTAATATAGATGATACCCGTAGGTGAATAATTTTGGTCCGATGCATTTAGATCACCGATCTAGGGACACATACCCCAACTACCGTCCACAATACAACTTTTATGACAGCAACAACATATACATAGGGTTAACAACCAGATGAACCGTTGTAACCGATTTTAATTTTTTTTTATTGTTGCACTGAAAATTATTATTTTTAATTAGTTAGTTTATTAATTAATATTATTTGCTACAAAGATATTAAATAAATATTATGAGTATTTTTAATTATTTCATGTGAGACAAAATTTATTATTTATACGCTTTCGACGAACTCTTAGACTAAAATATATGAGAAGCTTGAAAGGAAACGTCAAAAATTAAGTTTTATTAAATTTCAAGGAATTAATTTACTTTTTATGAAGATTATTAAATTTAATGTTTTTATAAACTTCAGAAGAAATACTAAAATACATTTACAGTAAAATTTTTGTTATTTAAGCTTTATTCCAAAAAAATTTTTAAAAAAGAAAATGTATCTTCATTCCAATGACCTTAATAAATGTTTTTTAAAATAAAATTTAATATTTTATTTAATTCAATAAATAAAAAGCTTCAACTTCAATTTTTAAGTGTAAGAATAGAATAAAATATTTCATCTGTATTTTAAACTTGTACTGAAGAAATAAATATAAAAATACAAATGTTTTCTTTATGCAAGCCTTTTATATATTCTTTTCAATTTTTAAACCAAATAATCAATGAAAATTAATTTAGCCGATATTTAAAAATTTTTAGAATTTTTTTCATTGAAAAAATGATCACAAAAAAATAAAAAAAAAATTTTCACTTGTAAAAAACTTTAAAAACTGTAAGTGCAATTTTTCAAAAATATTTTTTTGTTTCAATTTAATTATTAAAAAAAAAATAAAAAAATAAAAATCGTCAAAACTGGACAAAAAATCATTAGATACTCTCCAAATAGCAGCCATTAAACTATAAACTAATAATAAAATTATGTTAAAGAAGACTATAAGAAAAAAATAACATACTTGCACATATCATGAATCCTCTGCATGGCTCCAATTAAATCTTGGGAATTTCTGGCCAGAGCAGCTTTGTCCAGCTGTTTAACAACCGCCGGCCACCAGGGCAAATCACAGGGCAGCATCACCAGAGCCATGACACTGTTTTTTATAAATTAATAATAATAATAATAATAATAATGAATAATAAGTATTATTATTACATAAACACCCAGTAGGTATATAATACTAGTCTTCTTATTTAAAACCCATAGTATCACTCTCGGTAATTCTTATCCGCGATAGTGTATTTATTTTTATACAACATAGAATAGGTATAAATTTAAGTTTGTTCAGGCATAAATCCATTGATTCATCACCCACTTGTCCTTATGGACATACATGGCCTAGGTGGCCTACACGTGCTTCAATCACTGGTATATTGACTCTTTAAACTGTTTATGAGGTTATATAATCCAACTTAGTGTCGTGTTGTGTTGTGATGTGAGCTGATTCACTTATTTGCGGTGATAGAGATAGTGATCATTGATTTATTTTTTATTTTTTAGGTTAGGACATAACACTTATATATATTAGGCCTCTATAACAAGTGGGTAGACACACCCGATGCTCAGCCATTGTTTCATAACCTGGGAAAGTAAAGATAACTTTAATTAGAATAGAAGAAATAAAATAAATATTTAAAACAGTGTCAGTATATTTTTTATTAATAATTTATAAATAATAATAATAATAATATTAAAAATAATTATAGTTATATTTAAGAAGATGAATATATTTTTTTTTTTAAAGAAGAAATAAAAATAAAAAAATAAAATTGATACTTTACCTGCTCTGGATGTTTGACGGAATCGTCGGAACGTTGGGCTGAATCGGGTGTAGTGGTTGAAGACTACGGCAAGTGGATGATGTCTACGCGATCCCCGGGTCTCTAGTACCCACGTCGACCGCCGCAAGCACAGAAGCGTTAATCGTGACCGTGCTTTCTTACTCGCTTTTGGCTTGTATTTTTAGATTAGCGCCGGCGCTCTGCCAACCCCTATATAGAATTTCTCGTCACTGTGACGTTTTGTAAGTGTAGAGATGTATTAATAGTAGTGGTGTACTGCTATACTGGTGTTCATATAGTAGTAGTATAGATAGAGTAAAGAGGGAATAGTACATAGTACAAGTTAAGAAGTAGTAGACGGGTTAATGCTTGTTATTGTAGAATGCCCCATAGACGACCTCATAATCGATCGCTTCTGTTACGTCAGCAGGAGTCGTGACGTAAGCAGGACTTTAGATTATGGAAACACTGTTCAAGGCCTTGGGTTCTCTTCCAACAGTTTGCAGTTAGGAAAATTGAGTTAGCCGATATTTAAAAATTTTTAGAACTTTTTTTTTAATTGAAAAATTATTACAAAAAAATAAAGAAAAATTTTCATTTGTAAAAAACTTTAAAAACTAAGTATAAGAGCAATTTTTAGAAGATATTTTTTAGTTCTAATTTAATAAATGAAAAAAAAAAAAAACTTTAGTTTTATTTTGTAGTTTATGAATTGTTGATGAAAATATCTAAAAAATTTTTTTTAAACATCTTAACAACTTTTTTTAACATTTCTTCATTTTGTAATTTTTTTTTTTTTAAATAATTATTATTAATTTATCATAAAAATTAATAATAATAATAAATTTATTAATCTTTAAAAAAATTCCTAAAAAATTTTTCTAAATATCAAAACATTTTTTTTTTTTTGACATTTCTTCATTTTGTACATTGGTTTTTTTTTTCTTTTTAATTATTATTAATTTTCATTTATGTCACTGTACTAACAATAAGTTTTATTTAAATAAATTTTTTTTTAAGCTTATGAACAATGAAGATGAAAGAAGAAAGAAAGTGTTACAAAAGTAGAAAAAAATATAATTATAAGCATAAAATAAGCTGTTTTATTCTTAAATTACTTGAATAAATATTTCTTCTTTAAGAAGAAAACAAACTATTTATTTTAATTCTAATTTTAATTATATTTGTAAACAATTATTTTGTAATTTTATTCGACTGTTTTTAACCTAAGAAGAGATTGATGTGTAAGTTTAATGTATTGTTACGTAGCAATTAATTTTAGGTTAAACTTAACATAAATCATGATCACAAAAAAACTCGGCACAATCTTTGGGTTGTGTTTTGACGTATGGTGTGTCTTTTAATGTCACAACACGAATTGTTCTCATTTTTCTTGCTGACTTTCTCGATGCAACAAAAAAATGACGAAAGTACTTACAATTTTAAGATTTTTATGAAACGATCAAGTTAAAAAAATTGGAAATTTTTTGTACTTTTTTATGTCTGTTATTTTAAGAAATCTATTTGTGGTCTAGAAAGTTTAGATAATTGACACTAAAAAATTAAGTTAAAAATATTAATTTTGTTAATTAACTGACTGCGTTTTAACCTTTTTTTTCTTCTATGTAATTTAATTAAAAAAAAATTCACTATTGAGTTACTTAAAAATCAGGAAATTAGAATAAGTAATAAGGCTAAAAAAAATTACAAATTTTACCAATGATAATTAAATATCCATTAATATGTATAATTTAGTTTGTGCTGGTAATTAACAATGAAGAAAAATTCAATCAATGCCTGCAACAGAAATTCTTAGATTTTAATTTAGTAAAAGTGCATTGAAATAATTGATTTATTAAATATTGAACTTTTAAATGTTTTTTTTTTCAGAGTAAATGAAACCTGTTAATTAGTATTAATTTATTATTTACATTAATAACTAATGATGTTTCGCTAAATTTCATTAAAATTAATAAATAATGAGAACAAGTTGATTTATTATTTACATATACTTCCTGAAGCGCCTCACTTAAGGTAGTTGTAGCGTGAAAGGCATTTCAACAGAAAGTTATGAAATTTTTTTTTATCGAAAGATAAATATATTAATAATTCACTACCAAAATTTCAGATCAATTGACCGCACCGTTTTTGAGTAATTAATTTTCGAAATCGCATCTTTTACACGTAGAGGTATAGAGAGATGGTAAAGTTAGTATGAAATCTTCCGTACCACTCGAGTGGGCCAAAGATTTCATACTAACTTTACCATCTCTCTATACCTCTACGTGTAAAAGATGCAATTTCGAAAATTAATTACTCAAAAACGGTGCGGTCAATTGATCTGAAATTTTGGTAGTGAATTATTAATATATTTAT